AAACACTATTTTATAAATGTAATTTTTAATACATCTATATATATATTTTTTTTCAATGTGGCAAATAAAAAAAATATTCTGAGAAAAAGAATATATATATTTTTTTTCAATGTGGCAAATAAAAAAAATATTCTGAGAAAAAGAATATATATATTTTTTACAGTATTTATATACTTAATTTGGTACTACAAGAAAACACAATTAAGTCAATGTTGCTTTAGCTGCCCTGGATTTGGGCTCTTTTTTATCTTTACCTTTTTAGCATTTTTAAAATCTTCAGAATTTCAAAATCAAATTTGCGTAATGGAAACATGTCCATATCGAAAAAAAACTTACATTTTTCAACAAAACAGTTTTGCGCTAGGATAAGTTGGGTTTTTTTTTTTTTTTTGGCCATGTTGAAATTGGTGTATTTCGCAAAACTGCAATGGAAACACTTTTTTCGCATCATGGGTGTCACATGATCAACAACCGGATGTTTCTACTGGCAAAAAAATGAAGAATAAAACAAGAAGTAGAAGTAGTAAAATCACTGACTACAATTTCCACAAAATGCCACATACATAGCCACTCCCAAGTATGAGGGGCTTGTTGCTCAAAAGCCTCGATAAGACGCCGACGTCTCCTTTGATGGCTGATGAGCGCTAGTGTCGTGGTAGCAATATGCATTTGTTTACATCCATTGCCGCCATGTTTGTAATGACTTATTGTGAGAACAAATGTATTCACGTGTGACTTTAATAGTATTTCTTACTTAATGGCAAAAACTGTGTTTTTTCGACAAACAGAATATCGGCAAAGTTTTGCGCACATTTGCAATGGAAACGCAGCTAGTGACTGGTATGGTTAGATTTCATGCGTGACGTAAACGTATTTAGACACAAACGTGCTTTTATTGTGAAATGCTCGGGGAAATTAGTATTGCGCTGGGATTTAGTTGACTGGTGCACGGAGGCTGAGTCATCCTGTTAAGCTTTGTTAAATAACACAAAACGATAGACACGATAATAATCTTTTCTCAATCCTCCTCCTTCACAACCGTACCAAAATGCGTGAATACTGTTTACAACCAGGCAAAGAATAAAACACACGCAGAGGAGGAAAACAGTGACACAGAAAGAGAAACACTAAAAGAAAAATGTCAATAGTTTCTGTGTTGCAGAAAGAGGTAACTTCAAGGTTATTAATCAACAAGCAATGCTTGTACATTTTATTATCAGCTGAGCTGTGATGAAAAGTAAAATACAGTCAAATACTGTGATATAATACTGTGAAAATACCGTTAAATAAAATTTGGGCCATACCACCCAGCTCTAATTTGTAGTGAAACTTTGTCAGTGAGTCTGTTGGGTTTGAGGAATATTAGGAGGTAATAGACAGATGATTGTGTATTGAAAACTACAACATTGTCATAAATTTAGTGAGTGAATAAACATTTGCGTTGTATAAAATAGATTTTCACTCTCGGTGCTGTAAAAGCTGCTGCCTCGAATGATTTTAATCGTCATACCAGAAGGAACTAGGGTAGCCATATTTCATTGTTGTCATATCCTCAGAGATTTTGTGTTTATGTAAGAAGTTCTGCAGGAATGGAACCTGCTTCAAATGGTGACCTTTGGTCCAGCAGCTGGGAACCATATTTCAGGATGGTGCTTCGCTGTCGGGACGTCACGGAAAGGACGAGCTGCTGCGTTTTGCTTGGAATGCATCTTCTCTGTCGCCAGATGAGTCCGACTCATCATCACGTCCTGTTTATTGTTTCACGGAATCACGTAAACACAAACACCCGTACACAGCAAACACATAATGACTTCCAGGTGAAATCTGGAGTTGTGAGGTGATTTCTTTTTCCACTTTCCATCTGCAAGCAAATTTGCAGCTGTTCATAAATTTAATTTTAAATAATTATTGTTATCCATAGAGGTAAAATAAACTCTTAAAACACCTAAAAGTCACACAGTTAGTGGTATTAGCCATCATAGGTAAGCATTTTTCTATTAGATCTCTGTGTTCTGTGTGAAAATCCATATTATTATTCAATCCCATTGTAAAATAAACATTTTCTCATGTATTTATAGTTGCAGTTTTCTGTTTTTGTACGTAACACATTGCAAACAACATATGTTTTTTGTAGTTTAATAGATAAATAAATTAAAAATAGATCACATCACAGTGAATAACATGTATTTTAAGTAAGAAATCCATCTGGAGAGTACCTGCAGTGTTTCACACTAAGCACCCACACTGTTGATCTGTTTCTCATTTTCTCGATTTGTTTTCCTCCTCACAAGCTGTCATTCAACATTATCTTGCAAATGCATGCCGGTTTGTGAGCCATCCTCCCTCATCTGAAAGCAGACAGGAGACAAACGGGTCCCGTATCAAATCTCACATTTGTTTTGGAACCTGGAAGTGGGAACGTTGACCAGATGCAAAAACAATGTGGTCATCGAGGCAAGTCTGAAACAGCAGCTGCTGCCACTGATAGTGTACACTCAGCCCTGCAGAGTCGGTCTGCTTTGTGTTTCAGTGACATGAGTTTTCCACTGTCCAACATGCAGAGAGGCCTTTGTGCAGTGATTGAACTTATTATTACTACAGTGGAAGGAGTTCTTTACCCCATCAGCTCTGTATGCTTCTTAGATAAATATTGAGCTCAGTATTAATGTTTAGTCCTGACATACTGTGTACATAGTTGGTGTAAGTTTAATTATACAGATGTAGCTATTGGATTATGTGACGGATTCAGTTTAACTGATGAAGAATGAATCAAATTCAGGATTTCAAACTGTTACCAATATTTTTTAGTTTGTTATTTTAACAGAATAAACTCACTGTAGAAAAAGCTACTTGTTTGACTTTATTTGGTGGAATAAAAAAGGAGCTGGTCCTGGATGCTCGATGTAACAGACAAGATTATAGATCAGGGCCGTTCAACTAAATTGCTCCGGGGGCCACAGTTACTACAGGTCAACAGCTCAGAGGCCAAACATCCAGCAATTAAAGTCATTATGTAAATAAACCAAGTCTTACAAAGATCTGTTACCTTTCAAATAGTTTATTTTGCTGCAATTTATC